AGTGTATGAGAAAACAGCAGAGTAATGGATTTGCCAGGAAATTCTTCTGCATTGATTGCAGCAGTATTACTAATCCTGAATCAACCTAAATGTACAGAACTGAGCAAGTATTAGAGCTGTCCAATAAGATCTGATGAATGCACTATTCCATTAATTTTACCTTTTTTGTTGAATAAATTATTTGACAAATAATGGTAAAATTCATCAAATAAATTATCCGATGAATATATTTTTTAAGTAATCGACTAGCTCTAATGAATATGCAGGCAGTTCCTTAATGAAAAGCATTACTCTACTGTTAGCCTGCTTTCATCACTCATATGTCACTTTTTTTGTATTTTGCAACTGCAATCTGTATATTTTATTCATTTACCCATTCATTTATACAGGGGAAGTTCAAAACAGTATGGTTAATCAATCACTGCAATTCTTAGAATATATTTGCTTTACAGTTGATTATTCATTACATTTATTACATACAGGAATGCTTAATAAAAAGAACTTGGCTTTTCTGAGGACACCTCTCCCAAGAACTATTCTTGGCTTATATGTTCCAAGTCAAGTTTACAAGGATGCTCTGAAAATTACAGGGTCCATTTATAAGCCATTTTTGTAGTTGCAAACACTACAATTACCAATTGTTTCAAGAAACTGGAGCTTGAAGCCAAGCCAGACACCTTCAAGGTCCCTGAAAACACACATTAGAGGAGTAAACCACGGAAGAGCGTACAGGAACCACCTTCTCACTGAACACTGCTAGGATGTTTGGATAAAAGCCACAGGGAGAATTATTTGGATGATGTTCAATTTTGGAAATGTTCCAGCCTCAAAGAGCAAGTCTGTATTTTGTTATTACAGAGGTGATCTCAGCAAATGATACTGAGAGATTTATACTGTTAAACAGCAAATTGCACCTGTTAATGTTACACGTCACACTTCTGAGTGCTGGTTCCTCACAGAGGTGTGCCAATTCATTGCAGCACTGACAGTGGGTACAATAGTCAAGCCTGCATGACTCTGTCAATACTGCAAAGGTGCAAACCATGTTATCGTGGGTGACTCTGAACTTGCTGCACGAAGCTCAACCGAACAGATTTAATGGGAGAAGGTTGTGGGAGAGAGGTATATTAGAAGGGTTTCCTATAGCTGCACTTGGAGTAGCAGTGATTCTCTTCCAAGTTTTCCTTTTAATGGCTTGTAGACTTTCATAAGTACAGTGTTAATAGTCTTTGCCCAGGCCTTCCAAATGACGTCATTTCTACTGCCAGTTGGACAGCTAATATATATATAGCTGTCCCTCACAATAAGTACAAGTGGAGGGACTTATCCTGCGTCCACAGAGTTTAAAAGATGAAGTTTCCAAAAATGTCAGTGATACAGAATAAAGCCCTTACATAGGTCTGCTCCCACTCAACACAGAGCGAGCTGTGAAGCCAGAGGTGGGAAAAGCCATGTAGAAGTCCTCCACAAAGGGAAGGAGTTTGTTATTGGCTGACATTACATGCTCATCAAAACTGCAGCCACATTACCCTGCAGACAAATGGTTATTTCCATTCTACACACTTCTTATTACAGGGAGATTATTATTGTAAGAGTGTATTACAAAAGAAAAGAAAATGTTCTAGGGATTTTTTTTTTTTCCATACCTTTTATCTCTGGAGCTTATATTTGTATTTGCCTCAATCAGGCATGGGTTGTGGTGTGTGTGAATGTTTGTCCCTTAAAGCTTGTGATAAACTCACTTTTCTATTAAAAAGTTTAAATACTTGTTATAAAAAATTTCTCCATACTTGTATGCTTTGATCTAATCTACTGCATAGTTTTAGCTAAAATGGTTGTGGTTCTAAAGATTACAAGTATTAGGAGGAAGAAATAAGTTGTAGAAATTATCTTCAGCTTGCAGCTTGCTTTACAAAGGTTTAAAATGCCCTTTCTTTGCTAACTCCATCTAAAGAGCTTCTGACCCACTCCTTTTCATGTACAGTCGCCAATCTAATAATAATAATAATAATTTTTAGATGGGATCAATAAGGCCATTGCTTTGCACCTAGGAATTCTAATAGAACCTTAGTATTAATAAGCAAACATCTTCAGAAGTAGTTTTTCTGCTTAGGCAATCAGAGGAGAACTTAGTTTGTACTCCTGATAAACACTTGAGCTCCCTATGCTTCACTATTACTGCAGATTTAAAGTCCAAGGATGTGTTTGAAACAACATTCCCTGAGACGGAAAATCCAGTGGTACAGAACCAGTTCTGTGTGTCATTTACATGCTGTCTCAAAGGCGTATTGCAGGTTAATCCAAACCACAAATATCCTGGGTCCCCATTCACCGAAACTGAAGGCACCATTTGCGTACATGGGCATTTGTGCTGACAATGAGTTTAATGTTTTTGTGCAAGAATCAGATTTGTAGTGAGCAGATCTCAAGAGATTTGGTATTCAAACTCTCCAGGCTATCTTGGAAAGCCTGCAAACTCAATGCTATTAGTGGATGAAGCCCAGGATTAAAGGTAAGCCTGAAGCTGCCAGATTTTGCAGCTTTCTATATGAGGGTTGTGGTGCAATATCTGGTTATCCCAGAACAAAAATTATATTTCCTTTTCAGAGTCATTAATTAGTAATTTTTTTCTTTTTTTTTTTTTTTTTCCCTTTAATTAGCTGTGGGCAGAATGGAAATCTTAGAAAGAGATCAGCTCCTGTAATTAAAAGGACTTCCTGAGTGGCACTACTTTGGAAAGGGTTTAATCTTTGTTATGGTGGTACCCATGCAGTATGCTCAACAGGAAGACTGGACAATGGAAACAGAATTACCACCACCAACATGCCTTGCACAGAGCAGACATCCAACACCAACTTCACCTTCTAGAGTCAGTGCCTATTTTCATAAGGTTTTCCATATTTTCCTTAGACAATAACCTGGATAGAGTGCAAGCAAATTACCTAGCTCCTGCACTCTTTGAAAACACCCCTCCTGCAGTTCAGGCTTCAATTTGCTATCACCCCATGAAAACAAGCTGTCCAAACATTCAAAAAAAAATCACACAGCAGATGAAGCAGCTTGCTGAAAATGGGTTGCCTTTCCTCCCAGGTCTAGTAGTGCATGATTATGAAAAGACAATAATGGAGGTATGCAAATACTGTGAAAACAAGTTGTCACAAAATACTTCGCTAACACACAAAAAATAGCAAAACCACCACAGGGCTATTTGCTGTCCAGCTACAGCTCCTTTGTGTGACTTCACTTAGGCAAAGGAGTGGGAGAAAAAACAGAAACTGTCTGGCTGCTATCCTCATCCATAGGAGGACTGCATTGGTGCATAAGGATTTCTATCACCTCCTTTTTTTCTTTTAATTTGCAGGGATTGCTGGAAGATCTGGAGTGCTCAAAGAATGGCTACGGGCCTGAGCCAGCTTGCAGGATTTGCCTCTGCGGCCAGCTAGACTTGTATCAAAGCCACTGCAGACCTGCTCTGCCTCTGTGCTGCGTGCCTAAGATCCCGCATCAGGCACAGCTCAGCTGGAGCTGAAAACAAGGTTACAGAAGCATAAATTTAGGGCATTTTGTGTATTTTGAGAACGCGGTTTTCCTGTGCTAACAGTGCAGTGAGACATCACTGCCCATAAATCTTCACCTGAAGGCAGATGAGGAACAGGAATGACAGCAACAACAAAAAAATCCCAACCCTGCTGCCTTCTTGGAAGAAGGAGATAAGGTCCGAAGAGGAAATAGGAAATTGCCAACTTAAACCTAAGAATTGTAAGAATGTCCTAGTAAGGGATGGTCTCTCCCCATGATTTTATTTTACCGTAGTAACCTGTCGGCCGTGAAGGCCATCTGACCCCAGAAGCAACTAGCCGAGGGAGGTTATGGTGCCTTGCCTCTCTTGAAGTCTGCTGTCCTCACCAGGGGGGTGAGACGGGGAGGCATCACCCTGCAGTTGCACCTGGCAGGTTGCTCCCTGCCTCTCCCCAGTCCGCAGTAGCAATTTGGGGTGGAATTTGAGCGGAATTTTACTTGATACTTTAATCAGCTTTGAAATGGCTAATGTACTGAATTAAAACTGGTTTACTATCATCTTGTGGGTGTTAGGCACTACCGCTTCTTCTTTTCTACAAATCCTCACATTTATCCCCAAATAGCTTCAAAAGCAACAAAGGGTTCTAAGTGAGTTGACCACAGATGTCACAAGGCCTCACCATTGTACCTCCTCCTCCTGTTAGCTCCAGCTATTGCCAGATCACTGTCAACCCAGTCATACCCCATAATGCTGCATTACAGTTGGAATGGTTTGTTAAACTTTATAGCACTTAGAAAGGCTCCTGAGGCACTAAAAATGTCTTGATTCAGAATTGAACTTATAATACCTGCCAAATTTGCAGGTTTGAAACCACTTCCAATAAGAATTAAAAAGGCCCTCTTCGCAGCTGAAATAGGGCTATCAATACTTGACTTGTCTGCCCACGTGAAATTGTGGGTTCTTTTCTCTGACGTCGCAATTTAGTTTAAAATGGCTTTGATGATGACAGGGTACATGCGAGTGATAAAACCATAAAGATGACAGTCTAATCTCACAAAGATGACCGATCACTGATAAGAGATTAAGTCACACAACATTTGAAAAACCAGATTATCTGTCTGCTAGGATAGTGTCTGTGTACACCTCCTGCTGAGCCATGCTGAGATGCCAACAACATACTTCTTAAAAAGCAGGAATGCTTCACAGAATTTCTCAAACCATTGGGATAAAAGAAAGAAAGTAAGAAAAAAGGCTCTGATCTTATATTGAGCTTTTTTTGTCAAACATCCATTTTTCAGGCTAGTAAAGTATTTAGAAGTACAGCATATAAATAATTTAGAGACACTATAAAAAGATCTAAATTAGCCAATTCTGCCCTATAATTAGCACTCACAGCTATGCTGGCAATGGGTGGGTGATTATTAAACACCTTTTATTATCAGTTTTATGTACTACAATAAAAAATGAAAATTATACTTACAAGAATTATTAGACATGCTGGTCCTATAAAACTCCATATAAAGTTATTCTTCGTGCTGAGCCAACATCTGAAAAGTAAACAGCAGAAAATGCCTTGAAATGTGCTATTGTGACTATTGCATCCTTATGTATAGTGATTTGGACACAGAAACAACGACTTACACTTCTGTGGTGCCATAGTACTTGTATCCCAGTGCAGCAGAGATTCCAACGACCACGGCTGGACTGACGTAGCCAAAGACATAGAAATTCTTGTGCAAGAAACCCTTGTTGTAGATGACTCCCACAACTATAAGGTAGAGGTGAATACCTTCGATGCACATCCACGCAAAAGCAGCTAGAAGGAAATAATGGAGTAATCCAGCAGTAATTGAACAGAAGAGCTAGAAATTCAATCAGAGAAAGCAAGAGTCATAATTTTATTAATACATCTCTGTTAATACAGCAGCATATGCACAGCAACGTAGTAACTCTAAAGTGGTGGTCCAGCAGCCCAGATGTAACGTCTTGACTGACAAGAACTTGGTCTGCACCCACGAGCACACTTGTTCATTAGTGTTTTCTGTAGCAGCTGGTAAAATAAAGAGACTACATTCAACTTTTAAAATTGGTCCACGTCTTCCCAGAAAAACTATCTAAACAAATTGACAAGGTTGATCCCATAGTTACAGCTGAGTAGTCTATATGCTTTTCTGATCTAGACAAAGTTCATTTTTATGATTTTGATACGATGTAATTAGGCATCACAAGGAATTATTTCTGAAATAACTTCTGTTACTACAAAGTGTTTGTAAAACGATATTTCTCAATCAATCAATACTGGAGTGCTGCCTCAGGGATAGCAGCTCGTATTTTTTGAAGTAATTTTATATCTTATTCAGCTACTTATAGTAGGTGTTTTTTGATAGTTTATGCATAATTTAATTTCCTAAAACTAATCTGAGATGCAAAAATCAACAGCCCAACTTGTATGAAAAGCAACAGGGACAGGTCAAGACCTTACATGTAGAAAGGAAAGGGGTCCTCCAGCCAACAGCACAGTATCTCAAATGCTAGCTTGGGACTGAAGCTCTGGCCTGGCTTTTAGGGAAAATTGTCACCCAGAGAGCCACCAATGTGGCTTTGTACAACATCCAAACAGATGTGAAAAGTGAAAATGCTAAACACATTGAGACCGCAGTTTTGGTTAAGGTGACAAAGTTTAAATGAAACCCACGGAGCAAAGTCAGTATAGACCAGCTCAGATGAAGGCCCTACTTCTTTAAATGATCATTTTATATTTCCTGGTACTAGACTGGGAAGTCAGCATCACTAGAATGTTCATATTGATACTAGGAAATGCTGGAAGTAGATGGAAGATCGTATCCTATACTATATATTTACTTTACAACACAAAATCGAGACACAAGTGAAAACTACCCACCTTATTACTGTTCATATTAATTCCAATCAGAAAAATAAGTTCCGCCAGGAAAAGGCTGCAGCAGAGGTTTTTGTGAATTGTCGTTCTAGTGCTTTGAATTTCACTGAAGAACCAGAATGTAAAAATGCACATGGAGAGGCAAATCAACGAAATAATTATTCCTAGCTGAGTGATTCTTGTAAGAATGTTATAGTTTGTAACACCCTGGGGGAAAATTATAATATAATATTTAAAAGAATAGCTTTGTACCTTCTCAAGAAAGACCTCATTCTATAATACAATTCTTTTCTTCTTTTCTACAAAATATTAATCAAAACTGTTTGTAGAATTTCACTGCAAATGTACACTTTGGATAATCTAAAAAGTATTGGGTTTTTTGTGAGACAGATATAATTCTAGGGGAAATTAGCAATGAACTGTATATATTCCTGCTTTTGCATTTTCTGATATTTCTTAACAAAACTTTTTATTAACATCAGTATCTCCTAATATGATTTTAAAAATCAGATCATTTTAGCAAAGGACAAATGCACTGGCAGTAGGACATATATTAATATGATATGAACATTTTCTAATATAAAAGAACTTATCACAGCAGTGACTTAGATAAGCAAAATTGAATAACCAACTTACTGAATTTGCAACATGATCAAAACAAGACTCTGAAATAACAATCACTTCAAACACACGCTATTCCGGATATGTAACATGAACATTCTCCAAAGAAACACAGGCTATTTTAATACTGGATGTGCATATTCTCTGTATAGGAATACAGTTACATTTGCTGCTTGATATTTGCACAAAGAATCTCTGAAATACATGACTGTACATCAGCATAAGGATAGTATTCATCTGACCACAAAATATATCTAAGTATTTTTTTTTCTAAATAAAGGACAAGAGACTATTCTCCTCCCAGCCTTCCTTTTCAAAATAACTATATAAGTACCTGCAAAGGTTTTAAATTTGAACTGAAGACTTAGGTTGCTATTTAGCAACCAGGAAACAGCCTCTACCAGCATGAAATTCACAGTGTGAGAGAACTGTCTCAATACAGTATATTCATGCTAATATTCTGCTTGCTGTCAGTTCCAATACCTTATGAGGCTGCCTCCTGAGGCAGGACCTGAGCTCCTGCAGATCCCCACGCAGACCCTGGAAATCTATGGGCCTCCTTAAGATAAGAAGGACATAAATTGAGTGGTCATTCTCACTTTTGTGCTGGTCATGAGTGTCTGTATTTAATAGTCATAACCATCAAATTGATTATGCTGCTGCAAACTCTCAGGAGAGAATTTAAAGCAGATTTTTAGATGCCAAGGTTAGACAAATGGGTGGCAAAGTTTTGTGAGAGAGAAATTCAGGGCCATATGGTTACTGACCACCAATGAATGCCAGTTAAATCCCACAGCAGCCTTAAAGTGGGATTTAAAATTAAAAGCAATGCACCAAAAATAAGCACAACAGACTGTGTATTTGGAACAAGATACTTTGCTGCATCACTGCTCTGTAATACTGCAGAAAGGACATAAGGAAATTCAAACACATATGGGAGGAATTTTGTTTGCTCTGTGCACAATAAATTGTGTGTTTGCTGAACAAAAACAAGAGACAACCTAAAGGGGGAAAAGTACATAAGTTGTACTGAAATAAAAACATAAGGAATGAAGACAGGAGAAGGTGTCAGGTAAAACACTAAATTAAAATAGCACTTACAACAGAGCCACCTGAGGACATCAAAACAGCAAAATGAGTCAGATGATTACATTTGCATGAGATATGAGTGGAGTTGGAATGTGTCAGCTCACAGCCTTCTGTAGCCCAGTTGCCATTCATTGTGTCTGCTGAGTAGTTCCAAAACGCACATTTAATATCTTTATCTGCAGTCTGGAACAGAAACAAGATGTTTTACTGACGGCAAAAGGCAGGATATTTCCCATCAAGAGACCTTTCTTACGTTAGCCAGCACAATTCATTAAAAATTGCTTGTTACCATTGGAAAGTTGGGAAACAAAAAGCACATTCTGCATGGCCTATTCCAAGCAATTAAAACATAGCTGGGGATGGAAGTATTTTATCCACACAGCTAACACCCCACCAAACATGTAGGCTAATCAGATTACTGAATCCTTCTGGCATTTGCAAAGGTGTTGGAATTTTTACCTACTGAAAACATTGTTATATATATACCTGCACCTGCTGAACATGGACTAACCCCAAGGTTACAGCCACATTGCTCGTCCTGCTCATAGTCCCTTCCAAATGAGCAGGTAAAAACTGCGACTTACTCTGTGCATTTTACAAAGTAATCTGGGATAAAGCCAGGGTCAAATCACACCTGCTGTATCAGGTGTGAGGACAGCAATGAATAAGACCATTAGTATTATTTATTACAGTTAGTGCTTACTAACACTAGTCAAAAATAAGGTCCCCACTGTACTATAGGCTGTATAAATATATGCAAATTTATAAAAAGATGATCTCTAGCTCAAATATTAGAAGGCAAGTAACAAATTTAAAAGCTGCATAACCAAGGTTAACACCTTGTCCTACTGCCCACCTCCCTACAGAGTCACTTTCTTGTTATGTTTCTGATAATTCTTTGTGCCATGTAAGGTGATTCTTCACATACAAGTGAAGTCAGCAACATCTGTATATACTGGAAGTAAACCTCCCAGTTTTAAATAAATGTGCTCATATTTCATATTGACATGCTTAACCATCTGATAAGCTTTCCACCCCCCCCCCCCCCAAGTACAGAATAGTCAAGATCCTCTAATATTCTCTGGTTCAGACATCTACATTTTATTCATACTACAACCCAGCAATGATGGCATTGTTGCCCTCGCTTTAGTGCCATAGAAATTTTCGGCTGTATCATATTTAGTATATTGCACTTAGGCTGTCACATTTAAGATTAATTTTATTAGAGAAATCGATGACAAACTCATATCAGCAAACAACAGAATCACGTCTCAATATATCATACACTACAGGTATGGTTGCATCACATAAAATGATTATCTATTGTTTTGTTTTATTTGAAGTTGATAATAAAAAACCCCCTTACCTTGGCATACTTTAAGGTAAATGTTATTTTCTCAAGCTCATAGAGCGTAGGTGGATTTGAGCTAATTGCAACAGCTATAACTGATGAGCTTACTGTCTGTCTCTGCTCTGAAGTATCTTTCGAGGAGAGGTTTTTAGGCGATGAAAGCAAAGAACCAATATTGCTATACCGCAGAAAGACAACTGCAACGGTGCCTATCAATCAAACAGACCATGTTTAGTAGTTTGTGGGTTTCTTACAGAAGAACAAAATTGAAGACATTAAGGAAACAATAAACAAAAGACATTATTACTGCTATTGCATAAAATATGCAAAACAGATGGAATCTTTGTGGAATACTTATAAAAATGTTTTAGAGACAATGAAATATAGCTTTATTTAAAACAATAGAACTGCCATTAGAAATAAAAATGTGCGTTTGCATTGGAAATTCTAATTAGATATATGCATATATATTTTTTCTAGAGTAATATATGCTTGCTGCTGTTCTGCATTTGGCTACACATGTGGTGTCAGGTCTCATAAACTAAAATGGCTCAGGCCCGAGGTAAATACTGGGCCTCCCTGAAGTACCTGTCTTGCTTTGACTTCCATTACAGTGGAGCCAGGATGGAAGACACACAGGGAAAAAGAAAGCAAAATGTATTTTAGGATGCAATGCTGATCTGAAAAAATGTCATGATTTTTCTCCCTGGTACCAAGATAAACCACATTTTTAGGTACTGATAGGTGGTGAGATTCAGATTACCTGGAAGATTAAGATTTAAAAAATCTTTTCTGTTTATTAGGTTAGGTGGTTAAATTCCAGAGCTGGTTAAACACATATATTTATTTTTAGTGATGACAGTACTTGTAAGCCATTTCTGTAGCACTCTGAGGTCCAAGCCAAGATCTGGGCCCTGCTGGTTTTGGTACTGAAGAACCCATGTTCTTGCCCCAGTGAACTACTCTCTAAACAGAAAAGATGCACCGATTTGTGGAGGAGGAGCAACACAGAGAGTTAAAGGGCCCCATTCAAAGTCACACATCAGATCTATAGCTGAGAAAAAGGATAAGGCTCAGGTCTCTGGTACCAATATCCAGTGTTAAAACTCACCGGATACTCACTGTGCTACTAGAGATGTTAGAAATATCAGTCCTGAGACAATAAAGGGGTAGGAGAGATGGTGATAAAAATACCTTGACTTCTCTGTAGTTAGCAGGGCTGAAGCTCAGTCTTGGTAAACTGCACATATAGTTATTTACTAGCGGGAACAAGTCTATCCAAGGTGTTTATTAACCCACCTACTCTCCAACCTTTGTTTCTTACCATTAGGATGAGATTCCTCCCTCTTCTTTGGAGAGATCTTTATGTAATCTCCCCCTGTGTATACATGAGGGTGAATGTGTTTCATGTGGTGTGAATCAAAAGCAAAAACCTTGAGTGCTGCAAAAGAAGAAAAATACTGTACAAATCACAGCTCCATTACAGTCTACCATAATTTACAGTTGGGTTAATAAATGTGCTATTGGATTGCATAATTACCGCGAATTTTAAGAATATATCACTGTGCCAAATATTTCAAGAAAAATGCTATTAATATAGCATGTTTGCTTAAACCTCTATGTTTTGTTATTTTCATGCCTACATTTTGCTCTCATACTTTTTACTGTTTCCATGAAAAATATAGTCTTTTATTTACCTTGCATTAAATTAGGCACTGGAAAGAACAATGTAGGTTACTTTAGGAAGAGCTATTGCTTTATTAAAAATGCATTTCTGAAAGGGACCACAAATCACAATTATAAAAAGCAAAGCATAAAATTCTCTACTGAATAGTAACATTTGATAAAAGCCAATTTTTGAAGAGTATATATTTTATAGTTATCTATCCATGCTACCAAATGCACATTGCACCATGAAATAATGATGTGTCTTGTCAAAAGCAAACAAACAAGCATCACCCCTCAGGACAAAAACTACATTAGAGGACATTGAGCTCTTTACTTGGTTCATTATAGTGCTGAGTTTCAATCACCCAGGATGGGAACAAAAAAAAGTCAATCAGGCCTTTTTTAAAAAACAAAACAAAACAACAACAAACAAATCTAAAACTTGACTGATGGAGGAATATCACTAAGCTAGACCATCTGCATTGCTTATAGCACAGCACACAAAAATAATATGAGCTATTCAATAGACCAGCTGTCAGAAAAATGTTTGTCAGGATGTAAGAAATACTTTTCTGTGGCTGAAGTTTTGAAAAGCTTGTAGTTCAAGAGTTTGCACCATAAAAAGCAGTGGGGAAAGAAGGGTAATGTTGTAGGTCTTGTCCCAAAATAGATGTGTGGGACACATATGAGCCCTGTGGAAAACATACTCATGCTGAAAAACAATAACAAAAAATTTTAGTGTTTGGGGCCCATCTGGAAAAGAGCTCATACAGTTTCCCATTTTAGAACAAAAGCAAGCCGAAAAATCATCGACCTTTCAACATGGCAATTCCTCCCCATTCTCTTTATCAGCTTTTTTTGTCGCCTTGGTCTGACTGATGTCTACACTGCCACCAGAGGCTGCACCTGAATCCTCTCTTCTCAACCTGCATGGCTTCAGCTCTCTGGCCACGAGAGCCTCTGCTTTCAGCCAAGGTGGCCAGGGGAACAGGGGCTTCACGGCCAGCTCCTGGCTCCACTCTGGATCTGCTGCAGACCCAGAGGTACTTTGCACTAGCATAAATCTGCTTCTACGGAGTTTATGTCATGGAACAAATCCCTCCCTATTTTTTCATCACTCTTGCTGATTTAGGTTCAGAAAGGTGAGGGAAGAACAGGTGGTTTCACCTGCCTCGGGACCAAAGGAGGAATCTTTCTCGTCAAGTCATTTTATAAAATGGCAAACCAGTAAGAGGCACTGAAGGACTGTATTGAATCTAAAATAAGAAGTCAGGTCACACACAGTTTGGGTACATTCAGAAGAATAAAGATGAAAAAGTGGCCATTGCCAAAGGAATCAGCAATGCTTTAGTAGGATTTTCAAAAGTGGCTGGTATAGCCTTACTCTACTCCCATTGAAGGAATGGTAAAGCCATTATTACCACAGGAAAATCAGCAGGAGTTTGTGTGAAGACACCAGCGCACAGCGAGAAGGTAGGAGAGCAAAATGGTGCAGCTGAGACTAACCAATTCTCCTCCTCTGAAATTCCTCTTAAAATGAGAGATTTCTCTGAAAATAAAGCCACTCAAGATCAGACTCACTAGGTACAATCCTTATTCCAAGTTCATTTACAGTATCTTCACTGAATCAAAAAGAGTAAAAAATCTGTATAGAGCAAATCCAAATTTCATTCCACTAGTGGTTTTTATGCATACAAGATGCATAGGATAATTTTGTGCATGGAAGGTGAATCCAGATTCACTGTGACAGAGTGACTATAATGAGAGATTGAAAGAGAATCTGAAAGGACAACTTCCCACAGCCTCTCAAGTTTTTTCTGGGCTCTGGGCTCAAATGTTCAGTCTTTGAAAATTATGATACCTACACTGAAAGTCAGGTGTTAGTTATGAAACTCATACAAATTAACACCTGTGTGTTTCACATAACACCATTTCTAATCTTCATAATTGTGCTGAAAAGCTCCTCAGTGTAATCCACATCTAAAGTATACCTTAGATTAATTTTCTTTATCTTACCTATGTCACTTGCATTAACATCTAGCTGTGTTGTCTTTTTGAAGTTCTGTGACATGAGAAGCATCGCTTGTTCTGCAGTATGCAGCAGCTTAGTCAGGCTCCGTCTTTGGTTATCTACAGGAAGAGCTTCCCAGACTGCAATTTTGTCTTTTTGTAAAAAATTGTTCACAGTGTTAATCAAAACCTGTAAATAAAAGAATATGTTTAAGCGAAGGAGTCATACGCTATATGTAAAATAAGAAAAACCTCCACAACTTTAAGGCTTGATCCACTCACGTTAATGGTTGTATTACAAAGTGCTTCATTGTCAGAAACAGAGTAATGCATGGTATTCAACGATGAGTAAGATAATGCTTCAACATATGAAATCACATCTACAGGTAAAAGCGGTCCCAAAGTATTTTTATTAATTTCTTGCAGCATCTCCAGGGGTGTTTTTAAATGACTAATCTGAAAAATACAAGAACTCACATCTTAATGAAACAAGTAAAGTCACATTTCTGCAAGTGAAAGTAAACCCAGTGCAAATGACTGATTTCTGTGAATTAACATACTGGCTTTTAAGATGCTTGTGCATAAGAAGAGGTGCTATTTAAATCAACAGGTTGACCTATAAAGTAATGGTGTTACATATGTGTGGTATAACCCTAACAAGAAACTATGTTTAAAAAAAAGTCATATGGTTACTCCGTTGATTCTTTTCTATGAAATTTTAGCTGAAGAGGTGGGAGCAGATGGGCAGTATTTGTACATTTTGTGGTTGGTTTTTTTCAAATGCAGATTATAAAGCACGTAGTTTAGTGAAACTGTACTGCCTATTTCACCTTCACTGCTTCAGTTTATGAACTGCTAAATGCACCTACATAAAACAATCAGTTTAAAAAGTAATAGGCTAGAGAGGGCAAGATGAAGATTAAGATTGCAAGTTTCAGTCTCGTGGCTGAACAAGAGAAGAATTCTTACTTCACAATACTGAAATCTAGTGAGATTTTATCCATCAAGGAAACCCCAACACCTGATTTTGTAAGATCCATAGTCTCTACTGCTGAACAGCTTTTATGGGGCTTGCTTCATCTTCGACTGCAGCTGAACAGAACTAGAACACAGGCTAAAAACTAGGCTAAAATCTGACGTGCTGGTATTTACAAAAAATTGAAGTATTTTGACTTATTACTTTGATTTAAGTTTAGTTTGACTACATATTTAAAAAAAAAATCTCACTCTAAGATTCTGCTATGGCATTTACCATGTCTTTGCATGTAAATGTGGTAAGCATGTATTATATTTAATATAATGTATTACATTGCAGGTTAACATAGAAAGCATGTTAATACAATGTATATCTTACACTAGGTTAATAAAAACCTTTAAATTAATATCTTTCTGAATCTTGTAACTGGCAAACTGCTTAATATAAAATGCAAACATATACAATTGGTTTTAATTTATTTATGCTTATGTTTCATTTATCCTTTTAAATTAGACAATACTATAGCTGCAGACTAATGAATAGTGAATTCATTAATATTTTTTTAATTTGCTTCAGGAATCTCTGCTCCTGGTGAAAAAAAATCTTGAGTCCAGAGACTTTGAGTCTATAAATTCTGTAGCAGTTTGCATACTATGCTTTGAGGAACAAATATACTAATATACCAGGATGCTATTGCTCCAATTTCTACTTTGTCACTTGTTGACATTACTTTTGTAAGCTATCTTGCTGCCTTTCACTCTGAACAAGCAAATAGTTGCACATCAGTAAATGCAGCAGTGTGTAACTTCAGAAATTACAGAAACAGTTGAGTGATTACCACACTTCTGAATTTTTCATGCATCATGACTCACTTCGCTGGAAACAGAACACACAGATTCCCAGCAAGTTATTATCATGATTTGAACATACAACCCAGTTCAAATAATTTGAAATTATTAAAAAGACTTCTGTAAACATGCTTAAGTTCAATTGTGTGCTTTAAGCATTTGTTAAAAGCTCCTTAAGAACTATTATATTTGAAATAACAGTTTCAAACAGAAACAATTAAAGGATTTGGAAATTAATCTATAAACCAATGCTACTTACTCCAGCTAAAGTTCTATTAATATGTTCAGTTATACAGTCTTTGTATAATGCACACTTGGCCTTCGGATTTTCTGTAGAAATTAAAAAGAAACTAATTATATATTGCAGTTTATTCAATATTCAATATATACTCATTGTAAGAGCTCTTGTCTAAGTAATTCCCCAAACCACCAGCATTCTGAGTGTGTGCATATAGGACGCAGCACTCCATTCTCAAGCTTCAACTACTAAGACTTTATCTTGGCCAAAGTTACAGCACTGGATTGGACTCTGAGCTTTTGTTTTACTCAGGTAGAAGGTTTGGCCCCTTTCCTTGGGACTTCCGCTGGTGAAGTTAAGAGGCAGCTTAAATTTACAGAGAGGAATACAGATCTGACAACTATGAGGAGGTGACCATCATTTCAAATGGATTTCATCACACTGTTTAGCAAAAATACATTTACGAAATGATACTATTCTCAGGAAATGTAGATGCCACTGCCTTGCCTCTTTTTCATGTCTTGCTGATTAATCTAACTGAAGATAAAGAGGCACTGGTGGGTTTCTCAGAAGATGTAGCTCTATAATAACACATAAACCTTTATAATATCATGTACCTTGGCAGGAAGTGCCATCATTTGGCTTAAACTGCAATTTTCCTGTGGATGGTTGATAACCTTCCTTACAGGAGCAGTTAAACCCTCCATCCACGTTTTCACATTTTGCATGATCTCCACAGGCAACAGTTCCTTCATTGCTGCACTCATCTACATCTGCAAATATCGTGAGAAATTGAATTTTTTATTAAGTATTTACAGACTAACACCTTGCTGCTTTGTTGATAATAGCCCTGCACACTGCAAGCAGTTTCATAATAAAATTTCATGGAATAAAAAAAAGCAAAAGCTAAAAAGGCAAACTTAATGGCAAAACACCTGCCAATTATAATACTTAGGGATTAGAAGGATAAGTCATAATTGATCATATTTTTATACCACCACCTTTATTACTATGTAATACTGCATCATTCATGTTTTAAAACCATGAGTGTAAATATTAATTCTATCATAACAAAATGCTCGGTATGATGCAAATCATCTGAAATCCATTTTCCAGAGATTAGACTAAATAGATTTTCTCAGCCTTATGATTCAGTTAGAAAAGAGAAGGAAAACTGCAGCCTTTTCTTTTAAGTCACAGCTTTAAAAAGATGCTACAAAAGATCACTCTATCCGTCTCGTTAATCTAAGATTTAAGCTGTGTGCCCTTTAAAGTGCTTGGCATGTCTTTTTTTTTAATCCACATTTAAATTATATTTGCCTAAAATGGCTTTTGTACATCTAAATAATTTGCCATTAGGCAGACAGGTTCAGTAACTGGGTGGGGCACAGTCCAAGAGTAAAACTGATGAATTCCGGTAAGGGAACCCATGAATTGATCAATTTAGGAGACCTGGGTACTAACTTTCTGGCTGGAGTAAGGATTATTTTGCATTATTTGGTTGGCTGATCAAATAACTCAAAGGAGAAAGTAAACTGGGAACAATACCAAATAATTCTGAAGAATGAAGTAATGGACTGTGAAGTGCTGTGCTGGAAAGGAGAAAAAAGTGAACAGTTTTGGGACAGGTATATCTGACAAAAAGAGTTGAAAAATGAAGAAGTGATATGTGAGCAGTTTTAAAGGAACAGCCTGAGAACTGAACTGAAGGAAAGTAAAGGTAAAGTGGGCAGGGAGCAGATGAACCAGAGAGGAAGACAACCTAAGTTAAGAAGTGGCATGACACTGAATGTGGGAAAGAAATTGGTGAAAAAGAGGAACTGATTAACTGATTAGTGGAGGAGAAGAGCTACCTGAATTGATAGGAGGCCTTTGTGCAGCCAGATGGGTGTTAAGAACAGACAGACAGAAAGCAGATATAGGGGGCTGGAAATGCACTATTAGCATATAGGAACTATTTTTGCACTTTCATTTTGATACAAGATTGTTGGTGGTTTTCAAAAAGGAGTAGAACAAAAATGAGCAATAAAGTATGTGAAATAAGGTTGCTAGAGAAACGGAAATTGTGGAAAGCCGGAAAAATGTACTGCCCGTCTGTGGATATATCTAGGGAATGCAGAAAGATGTCTGAAGGATACTTGGGGGCCATCTGCTTATTTGGACAGCATTATTGGTAACTTCGTAGAACATTTTTTTCTAATGGCAAGAGAGCCTCCATAAATAATTAGATGAATGCTTTTTTTTTTTTTAATACAAAGCAACTGTAAAATGCATTTAAACATTTAATGGAGTATGCCAGCAGTTTCTGCATTCACACAATTTTTGCTGGTTTGTGCTTAATTCCCCAGCTCCCTTTCTTCTGCTTGTAATCCTAGACGTCTTCCTGGGGTTCAAGGAGATGGTTGAGGTCCCACCTCACTTTCATATCCCTATTTTCCTCACTGAGCAGTGGCTCCGATTTGTACCTGAAATGCTGTGGTTTAAGCCTGAGGTTCAGAAGCTCCCACTGAAAAGCCATCCAGACTCTCGCATGGCACAGACGGGAAGGAGAGCAGAGGCTAGAGGCACATTTGCTCTCCCCAGCACAACCACCTCTGCTCTTCAGGGAGAGTTGCCAAGGAGGCTGCGTGTTGGAATGGGTTGGCACAAGCACTGAAGTTTAAAGTGTGAGGTTGAATTACAATTATCTGCATTAGGGCAATAGTTTGTTTCCACATTTAATGCCCCAAACTGCAAATGTTTCTCTTTAATGAGCCAAGTTTTGCATTATCCATATTTGTCTGGTTTCTGTGACCTCAGTATTCATACTCATGGAGCTAATATACTCATGGAGTTATACATCAATGAATCTGGCACAAGTGAAAAGCGGGGGGAAAGCGTGATATAGTGCTACACACAGGCTACCTCATAATTAAATGCTGTCATTTAAAGACATAAGGCTAAAGTTCTTACTCTTGGCATTTAAATAACCTCTCACACCAGTAAATTATGAAGCTCTTTCTGAAACAAGTGGGTGCCTGTCAGTGCCCTGTTGTGTGACTCTGTGTAAGACAGACAAACTTTGAATGAATTGAAGCGGAAAGGGTGAAAACCATGACAATAGCTGTTTGTACGGCAAGAACACACATCAGCCTTATACTAAAGATTTCTTTGGCCTTGTCAGCTACACGGAGGAGGACGTGTACATCTTAACAAGATATTCAGCACATAATGCGGTGCTAAAACACCAGCAAATGACAACAAGCTTTGTTAAAGCTTACAATGACGTAAAAATAAATAAATATTTGAATACTTTCTAGACTACCATTGCTAAGTATCAGGTTTCCATGTGATTTACTGATCAAATATTTCAAAATTATTATGATATTTTGCTTTCATGAACCTTTAGTTTGGTAAGTCATTTATTTGTCATTATTGGGCAGTCACACAAATTACCCTTCCTTTTGTAATTATGTCAGATATTAAGTGTAATGGAGATTTTAATGAGAAGTCAGGAATATCCAAAACAACAGCAGAAACTCAAGCATCGAGGCACATCTCTGGCAACAGGATGGCTATTTAAAGCCTGATAGAGACACCCTGTCGAGTATATGCAAATAGACTTTCTGCAGTTGAGTTGTCCATATGGAATGAGTCCTCATCGTGCCTATCTAATTTACAGTTTCCTGGAGGAAAAAATCTCCTGGATGACAAAATTAAAAGGCAATATGCCTGATCTTGCAAGGTACTAATCAGCTTCGTATCCCTTTTAAATCAATGACATTGTCAGGGGCAGCCAACAATTTGTGACAGTTGCAAGAATGCTGCTTTTAAGTTCCTGCTTTGAAATACTGTGTGCAGTAGCTGTAGGTTTTTGTTTCTTATGTTTTGTAGTTAACCAAATATGCAATTGTTGGACCACACACGGACAACAGCTTGTCAGTGCTTTCACCAGTCCAATTTTACTGGAGCTTTGGGGTGAGGATCTCGAACCATCCTCCTTGATCTACTATGGGAGGGGGACTGGGCTGCCAAGGCTTGCGTGAGCAGTCTTCACAGACAACATTCCTGGGCAAAGGTTGAAGAACAGCAGCTTTTTAAACAGAAGAGCATTTGCCATAGCTCTGCAAAAAGCCCTGGCCTTTTAGTAAATATTCAAAACAAATCCTGGAGCTGAACTTTGAAGCTTTTATAATAGCTCCGATCAGAAAAATAATATCACCAACACCACTTAGACTAGTGTGAAAATAGATTTATAACCTTTTATTTTATTTCTGTGCTTTGTCACTCCTCATTTACTGCAGCAGGCAAGGAAATTCCAATTAAATTAAAAGTACTGAGAACAGTTATTATGTTCGGTCTTGCCAATTACTGGATTGTACCTACATCGCTTTGATTCTTCACCAGTCAGTCAAGACAGCTTGATGTCTACATTATACCTTCTGCTTATTAGTAGCTTGCAAGTGATTGAAAAGTTCAATTGCAAAGGACTAGATGTTCCCTCCCTGTGTCTCCATACTGTGGAAGGCAGCAGCACACAAAGTAGAAATGAAAAAGCCTACAAATGGCACAGGTAAAAGAAAAGTTAGCAGTGTGGCACAATGCCATATCCCATCCAGTGTACAACTCCCCTCTCGCAGAAAAGAATGTGATGGAGAATGGGTGCCTTCCCAGTGCTCTCAGAAATACCTGAAGAAAACTAATAGTATGTTCCTGGAAAAGGCAGAGTGGCATGGATATCACTTCCATTTTACAGATGGCCATTTTCACATTTTTACTCTGTTGACGAGGGTGAAAAAAGTAGGTTTATATTTCACCTTTTTATCTGCAGCCAAACATTCAATAAAATGTGAAGTCTGAGGAAAAAGCATGGCTTGTACACAGTAAATAGATTTTAATAGCTCATGTTCAGGACAGCAGAAAAATATCATCTTCAGAAATATCACATCTCTGCACTCCTTTTTTTTTTCTTCTCCATTTCCTTTCTCCATCTCTTTTTCTCTCTCTCCCTTCCTAACCTCCAGTTCCTCCTCTATCTGCATTTTTCATTGTCATCTCTTCACCAATTCTGCCCGATAACATGGATGAAATACTGCTGACTCTCAACTCAAAACTCAACATTTTGATTGGACTAAGGGCGAACTGACATTTCCCAAGGCCGTTGTCTCAAGTTTTCTTTTAATCCACTACCTTGAGAGTTATAATCCCTTTGTATTCGGAAGTTTAGTATAGTATTCAAAGAGGGGAGGAACACACACGCGTATGCACATTGACTTTGAAACGGACTCACTCGTACACACACTGTGATGTACCACACTTGCACCACTGGGAACTCCAGATAGGTTTGATGGCATAAACAAATAGGCTGCATAAGGGCATACTCTCCAAAATTCAACCACTGTATTTTTAAAGTTACTGCCATATATATTATACATATATTAAAGAGCAAACTTAAGACTTTGAAGAACCTGAAAATATTTTGGGGCCCTAAAAACTTGGGTAGGATGGATACTTGGTAGCTCTGTTCTCCAATTTGTACTGGTTAACTTGCACTGTATTTACAGTGACAACTTTGGTGTTTGCTTCAGCTGTGTGTAGTACACCCTCAATACACTACTGTCAGCTGCTTTTGTGCAAGTCATATCTACTACCTGTAGCAGCAGATCCATTGGGTACAAAATATCCTATTATGGTTTCCCTGACAGATAAAGTAGAAAATTAATTGTGGATCAAAAGGTTGTCTTTAGGACTCACTGCTTGGTAAAGTAATTGGTACACTTGTTTAATGAGAAAAGGTGCCTACAGGTAATTTTTTGTTTCAGTGTGAGTTTTGGAAGCTCTCAGCTCCTCCCACATGGATTTGCAAAAAGGAGAAGAAAAGTGGTAAACTAACTCCCAGTAGAGGATAAAAAAAAGATGTCTGCCCAGTAAAGAAAAAAAGGGGGAAAAAAAAAAAAAAAGAAATTAACGAGCTAATGGTAAAAAGCTGAAGTGACACAAGAACAGTCAGGGAAGTAACCTTGAAGACAAAACTTCTGAAGCTGAGGAAACGTCATAATGTAAGAATCAAAGCCTGGACCAGAAATGGTGAGAATATTTACAGCAAAATGTGCTAACAGTCTCAATCCCAGCTAATTTAAGAACCATTCATAGCGGCTGGATAAAGCAGAGCTCCTTTAGATGGATGTGAGCAATGGGCAAGAAATGTTGATTAGATCACTTTCTGGCTTAATATGCAGTCATTCCGCTGATATTAAGAGCAGTAAGAAGAGAGGTTGTCAGCACTCACAAGCTCACAGGAGACATATCTAGAATGAGGCACAGTCAGCATAAAGGTGTAAAGGGCAATAGATTTATTTCTCATTTTCCCATTCCCTGAGGACTGTTGCAACATACAGAGAAAATTACCAGGAGTTTGAAAAAAGAGAAATAGTTACAGTTCTTCGATTCAAAGGAAATCCTAAAGGATTGCATAGTTGTTCAGAAATAACATTTTTCCAGAGAACTTTTCCTCCCCTCTAATCTTGAACATGTTCCATCCAACTGCCTCAGAAACAGAGGCTGATGGGTGGCACAGGAGGTAGGATAACTACTGATCTTGGTCATTGCTTTTGATCAGACCTGGAAAATTACCAAAAATATCCCAACCAAAGCCCCAAACAAAAAGATATTTGGAGCATAGTAGGTCAAACGTATAGGGAATTTTGTTGGTCCAGAGCGAGCTGAATGCAGAATACTTTGTCACTCTCTTTGTCTTAAGAATATGACCACTTTGCTCACAGATCAGTGAAACAGTGGCATAAATAGGTGGATTGGGGATTTCTGTGTTTCTGTAACTATATATTCATTGTCTAAAACTGTGACATGTGGATTAAAAATATTGCAAGCAGATTCAAGATTGAAATGTTACTGAAAGCAATGGCAGCTGCTATGTTATCAGTGAGAAGTGTGGGCCTGAACTGGAGTATTAAGTCTGTACTGGTCCAAATTGTGGGAATTTTATATCCTGACTTCAAACTTCACAAGTCTGAAAGCATTTTGCTAGGTTTCTATAATTAACAGAAGCAATAAGAGAAGAGTGACAATGTAAAGCTAGCTGGCATACATTAATAACTTACCCACGCAGGAGGTTCCATCATTAGGTACAAAAGTTTGTTGACCATTGCTGGATTTGAAACCAGGCACACACATGCAGAAATAACTTCCCACGGTGTTTGTGCAATTGGCATGCTCTCCACAAGGCTGAGTAACATTTTCACATTCATTATCATCTGTCAAGACATAAATTATGGAGAAATATATTTGCATTTGCCGATTGAAGAAAACAGTAAAGTAAAAGCTTAATTTGGCCTCTGGTGTTTTATTTATATAAGTTTTGAATGCTGAGCTGGCACTCTTGGTGTTTGTCTATATAGTTTTCCCTTTGCTAGGGATGTAATCAGGTGTTCAGCAGCACTCTTCTGCCCTCATCCTGCGTGAGTCAACAAATGAGAAAAGCAGCGGGATTCTGAAGTGAATGGTTGAATTGGATATTCACTTGGAATAAAGGATTGAGACAAGTGCATGTTCTGCCATGGTTGTATTTCACAACATTTTTTTGCTGCCCAAAAATCTACAGGTAGAGGGTCACCCCGAGGATGCATCTGGGAATTTAGAATTAGAGAAAACAGAGCTCAAAAGGGTATCAGGAAGTCACCCACTTTGTTTCCTAACACCAAAGTAGGATCAATATAGCTAAACTGACAGTTTTTACCCCAGTCTGTTTTTGAAGACCTTCTGTGATATTTCTCAGGAGTCCCAGATAACAAACTTAGAAAGTTTGGCCTGCTGACTGACCTGAGTCTTCAAGTATATTGTTTTTTCTTAGTTATCCCAAAGATCTTAACAAACAGATGAGCAAGATTCATGGCTTGATCTTTACCTCTTAGCAATTGCTGTGCAAGTCATCATTTTTGTACCTGCAAATTTACATGCTCTATTTTACAGGGCTCATCCCATGCCTCCAATGATACATGAAAAAGGAACTATATACATAAGTTTTAAGACTACTTCATCTCTACAGAGCCTCTGCATGTGCTATCATTGAGAGCATGGGGATCCAGCTAGCTTGATCAAAGTTCAAATGAAATAATAAGCTCATGCTTTGAACTGTATCGTTGATCAGTGCAATGACTCAATAAAACTGTTTCCTCTCCAGAATCTTCCAAGGTCCCTGTTCTCTGTTAAATAACTTTCAGACCAAACTTGAGAAAAATTTCCACAGCTTCCTTACCCAGATGCTCTATTTATCAAACTGAGAGTAACACTCACAATACCGATAATTCCATCTTTCCAAATAGCCCATTTCTCCCAAAGCACCCCAAACCTCTGAAACAAACAAATCAGTGAAAGTCTTCCAAAGAAGACGACACTCTGAGTGGAGTTCTCTATTTTCTACATCATGAGAAAGGAAAAGAGTTAAAGGCTTCCTGAAGTCTACTAGGATTTTGTTCCTGTTCTCAAGCATGAGAATGTTCTCATGTTCTCATAACTTGATGAATGACAGGAAAGAATTCTAAGAGGGAGAGAAGTAACAACTTATTGCAGAAGAGGAACGATTAAGGAGTGTGGCAGGGAGAAGAAATATGATTTCAGAAAACACGCCCAAGGATGAGTTTCAGAAAGGTGCTGTTTCTCTCCTGATGGTCAGTGTTCTCATAAGGTGTTTACAGAGATAGTGTACAGATAAGTGAAGTGTTATGTAAGCTAGGGCATTGGCAAGATTAAAGTACACCAAGAGCCATAAAGTGTTGCAGGAATACATTTCTGCAATATAACTTGATCAAAACCCCCAGCATAACCCTGGAACAGGACATTCTTCAGATTTGAAGTCTGCCATGATTCTGAATGTTACTCAGTTGACTCGGAGATGCAAATACCAATTTGGAACTGCAGCCCTCCTCAGGGGAATTTGGGTCAACAGTATCAAATGGATTACACTCATTATAACTAAAATTGAATGTAATTTAATAAGGAATCCAAGTAGAAAAGCACTTTGCCAACACACATCAACAATATTTATTCTACTGCTTTGGTATTCATGAGAATACAGCAGAGAAGGTGTATGATTTGGATCTTAAAGAATGCCAAAGTAAAACCAAATTAGTTTAAGTGGAATTAGGACATGGAGGAAAAAAATGTGGTGTTGATCCAAGTTCAAAAGCAAAGCATGAGAATTTGAAAAACCTAGTTTGGCAGGTGGCATTGCAGAGACCAGGCCACCAGACAATTTACAAATCTTGGTAACAAGGTCCACTTCTTTGAATATTATTTGTGTGTGTCTGTCTGGCTCTCTTGCAATCCCAGTTTGCTCCTGGACCCTGGCATTTCACAACAAAAAGTGGACCATCCTATTTTAGCTGCCAAGTAAACTTGCTCTTAGGAAAGTATTATAGATCCTAGAAAACAGTATGTGTTGACTTTGGAAAGCTCATGGGAGAGTAGTCACAGAAGATGAGAAGTAGGACACCAATGACTGCAGGACTTCATTCAAAGTAGAGGAATAACAGAGTTAAGGAGAGAAAAGCTACAGAGCTACAGCCTACATGCAAGAACTTTTCTTTGGGATTTGTTTTCTAGGAGCTCATCTATAGTCCTCAAAATCCAGCAATATTACCTTTTTCAGGTGGTCCAAAGAGTTTATAAGCAATATTAAAACAATTCATGCAATGGTCATAAATAAACTCCTTACAACTATGCCTAATAAACTTTACTGGATTATTGGTGTTTTTCCTGAATATTTAGGATATCTGTAAGGGGTTTAATGTTGACTGTATTGCCTTAGGAGGCTTGCCTATTGGGAGCGCCTTTTGGATAATCTGAGAAACCTTTAGAACATTGAAGAATAACAGTAACTTACATTGCAAACACAAGAATGAATATTTTAAAGAGTTAAATTCATAAGGAGATTTCTTTTCACTATTCCCATGGTCTAATGTAATACTGAGCAGACCATGCTGGGGGATAATTTACTGGACCACATCCTGCTTCCATTGAAATTAATGGCATAAAAGTCACTGACGTAAGCAGGCCCAGGGTGGTGCTCGCTATGGAAAACTACTGGGTTAATGAGAAAGGCAAGTGAGGAAGAAGTTTTCAAGAAAAAAAAAGGAGTTTCCGACTAAATGTGTTTAATCTGCCTAATTTCACACAAAATATTTTACAAGATCAACAATGATGGTAAAAATATCTTCTAGTTCTCTATATAAACAACTTGAATTTTTTCTTCAGACAGCAGTTCAACTAAAGCCCAGGGGATTAAAGTAATTTTCCAAATTTTACTTGATCTATAATGTTATTGGATTTATGATTTAAAGGAAGTCAAGAAAAAACAACAGGATTTATAGACGGAAAAGTGTTTGGGTTTTTTTTGGTTGTTGTTGTTTAAGAAAATTTTCTGTCTATCCAAAGAGGATACTTTAAATGACAGCAAGTGTATAATCCACCTGCTTTGTTGCTACCTAATTTAATTATGGCATGTGCATTCACTGCTGGCACAGATACTCACTGAACACTGCAGGCAGTATTTCAGGAATGTACACCCCTTTAAAGATTTTTTCTTTTTTTTCCAGTAACTGATGAAAAATTTGGAGACTCTTAAAGACAAGACTGGCCAAGTGAAAAGGTTAATTATCGTGACTAAATGATAATGCTGCATTCAAGTCTGTTTGATACACAAGACATTTCCTGAATAACTGAACTGTCTTGAGAAATGACAGGGCGGGGGGCAGCAGGTTGTTTTTTGGTTGTTGTTTTGGTTTGTTTTTTTAACATGGCAGTTCTATAATATTTGGATTGCTCTAATATCTCATTATTAAAAATCACAATATAAGGAAGGTTATAAATAGTTTCCTAGGAAATTTGTGTTAAATAACCCAAAGATGGGTGGATATAGGGATGGGTATGTATGTGTACCTGAATACCTGTAGGATGCTCACATGGTACAGGTGTAAAATAAAACCCATTCTCCATTTTTACGTTAAAAATGCAGCTACTATGTATTTTACTGTACATAAATGTAATTATGGTTAGATGGAATCAGCTACTAGCTGCATGTAATCATATCTCTCTACTAGTCTCTTGAAAAAGTATAAGGATCTTCAAAAGCAAAAAAATTTGAAAAGCTGATATACCCCTTTCAAACTCCATTTTCAATTGAGGATGGTAATTCTGTACTAAAACTGCTTGTGTTCATTAATTGAGAACACCATTGGTTTAGGATTGAGTAGCCCCACTAAGAAGTCTGAGCATTGATGGAAGTTTTCCCTATCACAGAGGGCTATAAATAAAATCCAGTGTTCGAACAATCACTCTTTTACATCAGGTAATATTGTTCATTGTTAAGTCAAGCATGTATGAATTTTGTTTAGTAGTGATATAATACATTTTTGTATAAAGAGCATTCAATTCTTTAAGAAACTTTAAAACATGTGGATACAGAAAGGAAGAATGATTTGTGGATTTTAGGGCCATGATGCATTTGGAAGCTAGAGGAATCTGGTAAGATTTTAGGAAAAAAGAATAGACGAAATTTCTTCTATCATATTCCATATACTTTCTAAAGTGCAAGTTTTATCCTGTCATATATCCTGTTTTAATACAGTGTGGTTATAAGATCGTAAGCTACAATAGGAAAATGCCAGGGCAACTACAGCTACAAAATGACATAATTTGTTATTATTGTGAGCATGAGAAAATGCTTTGAATTATCAATTTTAGGTGTGAGTTTTTTGTAATGCTGTTTACATATTTTACATGAAATATGTTGTGAGGGAAAGTCTTACGGCAGTAGATTTATCCAAACAGCTTTGAAGGATTTCCATTGCACTGGGCACATCTCCATGATAGACTTTTTAATGATATGATGACATATAATATGAAGAGTTAGTTTTGGGGTGAAACTTGTCATATTGATTCATGATCACACAGAATTTTTTCTTTTTGTATTTTTGAAGTAAACTGTTTCTCACTTCACTTCAAGTAACGAACAAACAAGGTTGAAATCGCCCATGTTAAACAGAATGATTTGTGCATTTTTCAGTCCTCACCAATCCATGCAAAATGAGATTTTTTGTAGAAGTGAAACTTTGTATTATAGAATATATTCTGGGCTCTCTGGCACTGAATTAAATTAGGATCAGCCAGGCCGATGGCCTTCACTAATTGGTAAGTGACCCGACTGGAAAACTAGCAGTGGTGAACTTGGAGTTTTGTCACTGGTGAGAGCCACCTG